AAACTAAGTGTTAAATTTGTTATCGCTACGTTGTGGACTGTATATTAGCTAGTGGACTGTATACTTAGGGGCATGTGTGTCTAAGATAAAAAAGGTTACAATCTTTGTTATTGATACACATGCGCGTTATCATTTTACATTTGTGCACAGCTTGTGCTATAATCATTAAACATTGAAAAACAATAAAATTTTATCTTTAAAGCGGATAACATTTTTGCTTACATATACAGATTAAAAACTTATCTTCTAAAATAATAATAAATCTTAAAAATAAACTATAAAATGTGTTCATGTTTGAACATTCTGTCAGCGGCCTAATTCTACATTCCAATCTCGTTTGATTATTTAGCGTTCATTGGTCTGGTCATATTAGAGATTCTCTTTGTTAAAAATGTCCAATCGAGCAATTGCGCGTTCCGTATGCTTCCTTTTTACAAAATATATCACTATACCTATTATCAAAATTGTTACTAAGAAAAGAGATATATGACTTGCTATTTGATGATATTTAATTTTACGTAATTTAATATTCTCTTCTTTTATGACTTTGATTTGACTCTGAAGCTCTTGCAGTTCATTTGTGTGATTGGATATTAATGAATTTAATGGTGGAATACGAATTCTAGCAGTGTTCCCTATCTTCGCTGTCAATGTGGCTGGTATTTCCTTTTTCGAATTAGAGTTTATATTAAATGGTGATTTTATTGTAACACCTTCAATTCTTATTGTACATCCTGGTTGCAATGATATTCTTCTCTGTTGTGGAAGTTCTAAAATAAATTGCCGATTTTGATTACACTGGATATGTGCTGATGTTGGTTTAAATGTTTTAAATAACCAATTATTTGCATTATTTAGTTTTACCCAATATAGAGATGATTCCGCTTCAATGTATGTACATTTATAAGCATTTAAAGGTTTCAATGGTGAAATCTCACACGACGAGTCATTCACATCTAGCCATGGCCAATTACCTTCACAAACATACTCCGCTTCTGTGACGTGTTTGCATAAGTTGAGCTGTGTTTCCGTCATCAAATGGTATGAGTCCATTTCGAAATTATATATAAGAAACTGCCTTTGTATCATTGGACTCAAAATTATCCCATGCTTTTCCATAGGCATCGGAATTACTTTGTATAGTTTTGATTCTTGTGCGTCAAATAATGGTATTTCTGCCTTTATGATTAGTTTCTTATCCATTATTGTTCCTATTGCCGATGAAGGCTTATAAATAACTTGCAACTGATTATCGCTATTTCCTGGCAGCCTTAATTTATTTGGAAGATGTTCTCTGATGCTCCTAACTTCTTCATACAGTTGAGTAGGAGTTATCAACGAAGGATTCAATTTCCCATGATTTATGTCAATTAAAAGCTCCATTATTTCTGTTTGAACATTTCTGTTATCTTCAATTATTCCCTGCAGCTCTTTTGTTACCATGAAAAACTTAATTGACTCCCGATATACCAAATATGATTCCTGCATTGCCGACGACAAGATGTTGAGCCTATCTTGCATTTGTTTAAAATTATTATTTATCTCCGTGGTGAGTCTTTTTAACAAATTCACCGTAGAATCTACTACCGAAGTTTGCTTATTTATCAGATTCTTGATATCATGCTGATTTTTTAGTAATCTCGACATGTCTTCTTCGAACATTTTTCTATCTTCTGCATCCATTGTGCCAAACAATATGTGCTGCAGTGACCCGATGAACTCAAATGGCGCTCTTCTCGTTCTTTGATTTTTATATTGAAGCAAATATTTATTTGTGTCCTGCATCTGCTTTATTTGCTGTCTCATGTCTTCTATAATTGCCACACAATGGTTTTCAAATGTTTGCAGTTTAGAACAAATTTTCTCCATTTCCAATATAGTTATACCTTCTTTATCAATTATTTCGAAAAAGGGCTCCAAATCAAAACATATTAACAGCTTCCATGATGATGATACCACGTTCATAGATCCAATTTCGTCCAAATAAACCACCGTGTCTTTGTCTATCTCATTCACTTTTCCTCCTTTAATTGCTTCTGACGCTACTCTAGATGGAATTAAAATCATTAGCAATAAAAGTAACATTAAATTAACAGATTTTTCTTTTTTCAAATCTTTTCGTTTAATAACATTTATCTTCTTATTCTCAGCAACATGTATTTGTTCGTGTACGCCTTCCAATACACATAATTTCTGAATCGGACGTTTTATTGTGCCATTCTGAGTTTTTACCGATTCTACTCTCACCAGATTATCTTTTCCAGGATGAACCTCAATTATCTTTCCAAGAGGCCATCTTCCTGGATATGTTTCCTCATTCTTCACTATTACCACTTGGCCTTCCTTAACATTCGCTTGAACCTTTTTCCATTTGTACCTCTGCTGAAGATTCGTTAAATATTCTTCCTTCCATCGTTTCCAAAAATGTTTCTTCATTGCTTGAATTATCTTCCAACGATTTAATGAAGATATGTTCGTATTATCTACTGCTTCTGGATAGTCAATGATAGCATGCCCAATTAAAAAATGACCTGGAGTTAATATATCATTGTCGTCAACATTTGCACAAAGCGGTCGTGAATTAAGTATGCCCTCAATTTGGGTTAGAAGTGTGCTTAACTCCTCATAAGTAAGTTTATTTTCGCCAACAACTCTTTTCAAGTGGTGTTTTATTGACTTCACGGCCGACTCCCATAACCCTCCAAAATGAGGACCTGCCGGTGGAATGAAATGCCATTTTATACCTTCTGCTTCCAATGCACAAACTGCACTCACATTGCTTTTAATAGCCTGTTGTAAATCCTTATCTAATTTTTTGGATGCTCCAACGAAGTTGGTACCATTGTCTGAGTATATATGTGAACATTTGCCTCTGCGTGCAAACAATCGCTTCAGCGCCGCCAGAAATGAGTCTGATGTCATGTCACTTACCAACTCTAAGTGCAAAGCTTTAGTTGCCATACATACAAATACCGCTACGTACCCTTTAAAAGTTTTTTGGCCTCGCCCTTTAGAACATTTAATTAGCAATGGTCCAGCGTAATCTACTCCACAATGAGCAACCCATAAGCTGCTTCTGCTTTAATGCTTTATAACGGGTGCACCTTACACATTCACGTATACACTTCTTAATCAAGTTTTTAAGTCCAAATATCCAATATCTTCTTTTTATAACATTTTCCATCAATCGATGTCCACCATGTAATGTTTCTCGGTGTGCTTCATTTATTATCAAATTCGCCAAATGACCTTTTGCTGTAATTATTGGATGCTTTTTATCAAAACCAATTTTTGCATTGATTAATCGACCTCCAACTCTCAAAACTTGGTTTTTGTCTAAAAACGGATTCAAATTTGCCATTTTGCTTCGATGATCTATTTCACAACTATTTTTCAATCTGCTTATATCCGTAAAAAATTGTGTTGTCTGATGACTTCTAAAAATAGCTGCATCTGCTCTTCTAAACTCCTCTACAGTAAGATATTCTGGAGACTTAGCCTTCCTCAGTCTGTCTATGAAACGAAAAAATATACAACCACTCTACTTAATTTTCTAAAAGATGAATATTTCTCGATGAGCTGATTAAATAAGTCTTCCTCTCTTAATTTACTGATATTTATTATTTTAGCTGCCATTTGTTCTTTTGGCCATGTCCTTCTATCATCGTTTAACCAGTTTGGACCTCTCCACCATAACGATTGGTTCTCTAACTTTTCCGGCTGAATTCCTCTGGATGCTAGGTCTGCTGGATTTTCCTTTGATCGCACATAAAACCAATTGGCGCTTGGAATTAACGAGCTTATTTCATTTACTCTTGACCTAATAAATTTATTTTTGCTTGAATTGCTTTTTATCTAGCATAATGTAATCGTGGAATCACTCCATGCATACATTTTTATTTTTCTGTTAATTATGTTATGAATTTTATTTAATAATTTTGCGAATAGATGCGCTGCACACAGCTCAAGCTTCGGCAATGTTTTTCTATTTTTTATAGGATTTACCTTACTTTTTGCTGCTATTATGGACACCTCTGCGTGCGTTTTTATGTACACTATTGCTGCGTAGGCCTTTTCCAATGCGTCAGCGAACCCTATCAGGCATATTTCATCATTTCCGGTAACTCCTACCCATCTCTCAATTTTGATTGTTTGTATTGCGTCTAAGTTCTGCACAATGTTTTTCCATTCTTTCATCATTTCTTCATTTAATTTCATATCCCAATCTAAATTACTTATCCAGAGCTTCTGCACAAATAACTTAACCAATACTGTAACTGGAGCCAATAGTCATAATGGATCAAATATTTTACCTAGATACGATAATGCCATTCTTTTTGTTATATAGACGTCTCTACTTTCTGCTATCTTAAACATGAATATATCATTGTTAGGATTCCATTGCAAGCCAAGCGTTTTTATACTTTCTTCTTTATCTATATCAATGACCTCATTGTCTTTTGATTTTTCCACCGTTTCTATTATATCCATGGTGTTAGAGCACCATTTCCTCAAATGAAATCCATACTTCTCCAAATGTGCCGATATCCTTAGCCGAACACTTTTGCACTCTTCTTTTGTATCACCGCCAGTTAGAAGATCGTCCATATAAAAATCGTCTTTAATTATTTTCGATATCTGATTATCCTGACATTCATTTGCTATTTCAAATAAAGTTCTTATAGCTAAAAATGAAGCAGGGGCAATACCGTAAGTTACAGTTGTTAACTTGTATTCTTCAATTGGCTGATTAATCTCGCTTCTCCACAAAATATGTTTGTATTTCTGATCATTTTTACTCACCCATATTTGTCTATACATTTTTTCTATGTCAGCAACTATGGCAAATTTTTTCAGTCGAAACTTCAACAATATATCAAAGATATCCCTTTGCAACCTTGGGCCAACATATAATACATCATTTAAACCATTTTTATTCGTGGTCTTTGCCGAAGCATCAAAAACTACTCTCACCTTAGTAGTGATACTATTCGCTCTTACTACTGCTTGGTGAGGTAGATAATATTTTCCCTGTCTTTTGAACTTACTTTTTTCATATGCCCATCAGCTAGATACTCCTTCATGAATTCGACATATTCTCTCTTTGATGATGGGTTTGCCTGTAATTTTCTTTCCAAATTTATGAATCGTGCCATCGCCATTTTGTATGAGTCGCCAACTTGGTGTTCTTCTTTGAAAGGTAACTCAACTACAAATCGTTCATCTTCATTTTTGGTAGTTGTCGCAGCATAATTTTTCATACAATATCCGTCTTCCGATGAATCTTCATCCTCTGGAATTTCTTCTATTTCCCAAAACTTTTCTATGTTGACGACGTTGGAAGAGATGAATCCTTTAATGCTTCTTTTTGCTTGTAAAATACCTGATAATATCCAGCCGAACTTTGTTGATTGCGCCAATATTTTATCTTTTTTAAGTAGACCGCCTTCAATAATTTCTCCATAAAGATCGCTTCCTATGATTATGTCAATTCTATCGGATTTATTAAAATTTGGGTCCGCCAAGGTCATATTTTCCCACTTATCTATATTATAGCTAAAGGTTTTATCCGGTTGACAAGATACCAATGATGGTAAAATTAATGCTTCTGCATTTATTTTATATTTACTGGTGAATCGTGGGTGAATTTGAAGATTTATTTTTGCCTTTGCAACGCCAACCGGTGTTCCTCCAAACCCTTGCACTTCCATTTTTACTTTTTTCCTTGGCAAATTTAATATTTGTGCCGCTTCTTCTGATACAGCTGTAGTTTGCGACCCTTGGTCAATTAGTGCCCTTAACATAATCATCTCACCTTGAACACTTTTTACGCGCACTTGCGCCGTTGCAAGTAACACATTTT